ATGTACCTGTAGATGATAAACCTTACCAAGATGTATTCTAAATCAAATTAATAAAACATATACCTGTACTTGTTTGGGGTATGAATTTTGTTTTCAACAACATAATAATGTGACCAGACAGTCATATTTTTTCAAGCCCTTATCCACTTACCTCAGGCTAAACAAAAATCCTGGATGTTACTTTTATTTATTTATTTTTTTTAATAATCAGCTTCTATTTTCTTTGGGAACAGTGTTAATGTTTAATTTTCAGAGGTGATTTCTATATCATTAAGACTACAATACAAAAACTTAAAGTTTGTTTCATCCTAAAAAGAGGTCAGTATTTCAAAGAATAAATATATTTCTAAGCTTTATAAGCCTTATCAGTGGAAGACAAGTGTTCCTCATAAAAAGAAGTGAAGGGCCTACTATTAATCACGAGTTTGCTTCCCAGCTGTAATCTAGTGGTTAACAATTAACCGTTTTACATAACATTTTTAAAAGCGTTGCAGTTCGCTTTTTCAAAGACCTGACTGAAAATTACCTTGGGTAATGGTACATTTATACCTGAAAATAACAAAAGAACTTGCCGCTTTACTATGAAAATTGATTTGAGAAAGTTAGAAACAGCGTTTCCACGGTGATCCGCAAGCAAATTTCCTTTCTCTGCTGAGCTTTTTATCCCCGCTTTTTATCATGTTTTATACAGTTCTCAACAACGGCTTCTTGTCACTGATTGTCCGTAAATAAATTTGAATGGAAAATTAAACCCCCGTTTGAGCTGGGTACTTGAAACATCAAGCCTCGACAGTTTTACCACTAATAAAATCATTTTGTCAAGAGTCAGTTGTTAACTTGTAAAATTCGACACTCGCTGAGCTTGTATAAAAGCAGAAAAGAAATCGTCAAAACTGTGACAAAAATATTTAAAATTCTTCCCGGTTTTCTTGTGGTTTGTAGAAAATTAGGCTGTGCCTTTTTTACAGGTGTTTTGTAGCTGTATACATGTAAGTTTTCGCATAGTTTTTATGTAGTTAGGCTTCTCGTTTGGTGCATAAAATTATCGGGCGCTGGAGTCATTGTTCGCTCTCACAAGTTCCATTATCATTTACTCAGTCTTTTGCCTCTACCGCTTTTGTACCCTCTAACTGTCTTCGCCAAGAACAAGTACTCTTCATCCTTTATTTCAAAACATGGGCAATCTGGGCAATATGTGACGATTAATTAAAGACGCGCAAAACATCGGATGTAAGAGGTTGAATGGCTCTCGATAATGTGACGTCACATTTTTCCAGTATGTTGGAACCGATCACGTCAGCCAGTTTCCTATCGAGTCTTTCTATTATCCATGGATTTATCAATCCTCAAGTCGATAAAAATCGGTAAATCTGATTTGATTGATATCGATTGTATTGATCAATCGGTAGAAATCGATGACACTCTCATTTTGTTTTTCGATTTATCTAGATTTTACCGATTCCATCGATTTATATCAGAAGATACATCTGTTCCTCTGTTCATCTAAAAATGAAAACAGTGATCATGAATTTGTTGACAATTGAGTTGCAATTGAGAGTCAAAGGTTCAAACAATTTTATTATCCCTTTTTTAAAAAAATCTTTTTAAAAAAATCTTATCTTTTCTTTAAAACCCGCTTTAAAGTCTTCTTCAATTGATTTCCCTAATAGTACTTATCCACTGCATAGCGATATATCCAGTGGATAGCACTATCCAAAGTTTGAACAACCGGAGCCTGGTTTATAGCACCCAGTTTTTTCACAACTTAGATCTGCCACTCTGTCAAAATAACATCAGTTCCGCGTGTAGTTACTTCCCGGAGTAGCCAATAGATAAAAATCGAAATCGCTAAAAATTGTTAGCGATCAATTGGTTTTATCGATTGATAACGGAAAACGGTGAAAAGCTATCTAGGGAAAACTTTTAGCCTGAATTTCAGGCATCCCTTCGACTCTAGACACTCTAGAGGATGTATGAAATTCTGGCTGGGAAATCTTGTGTCTGTAATAGTTTCCACATCTCTTATTTTCGTGTTTGTTGATCAGTTGTTACTCGTGGATGTGTTTTCTCAGCTGTACTATTTAACTTATGCCAAAAAACAACGTCAGACTTACAGTTGTAAATCGTTAAAATCATGAAAAATCGGTAATATCGATTTGACACAGCAATTTAGTTTATCGATTTTCACCGAATTCCGTTATCAATCGATAAAAATCAATTAATTGCTATCGATTTTTATTGATACTGATTTTTATAGATTGACCACTCCGGGATATATTCATGTCCTAAGGATTTGTGAAATACAGGCAAGAATGCTGCGAAGTGTGTGTTTTCTAATTACTATGGAAAAAGAAATCCTGAAAATTAAACTCATCATAAGTACATAGTACGTGTTTGTTTCTGTGATCACCTTGATCAGCTTAAAAACAATTATTTATGCATGCTACAGAACCCAGAATTTTGCAGACTGTAAGTTCCATCCAGAACTGTTGAATACTTAAAGTTTTCTATTAAAATAAGTACATGTTTAATTACTTAGACACATCAAAGCCAGTTTGCAAATGTATTTCCAGTTGTTACTTCTCTCTGCCCTGAGACGTAACAATCAGAAATTCAGGTATATCTGCATTTTCAGGCTAAATAAATGCAATGGCTGCATAATGATGTAAGTGTTTATGGGGTTTTTAACTCCAGTGAGTGCTCTTTACATTATTTTATATGTTTATTTTCTTTATAACATAGGACCGATTCTGTGTGCACAAAGTTTCCTTTGAAAAATTAATAGACCTCCACTCTACGTACAGGGATCTACTTTATAGAATAAAGGTGAGGAACAAACAAAAAACGAAAACACTAAAGTAACAGAACTGGCCACATTGGCCAGTCCCACACAGACATTCTTAGGGGTTTGTCACACATTCATGTCCCACGAATGTTGGGGAGGATTGCGTGACAAGCCAAAATAATGTCTGCATGGGAGGCTATGAATACATGTCACCTACAATAGATGTGAGAAAAGAACTGTTATTATATGCATACAATGGCCAGAATAAGCTAACCTGGAAAAGAAATGCATTTGACACAAGGCTGTGTTCTAGCGGCAGCTGGGGGCCTCTAGTGCTTAGTAGCCTGCGTAGCTGGCGGTATTGTGTAGTAGTCGAGTGAGATTTGGTGGCGGAGCCGTTGTAATATAGTCAAGTGAGATTTGATGGCAGAGCCATCACGAGTGGCAAAGCCGCGAGAAATACCGCCTGCCAGAGAACCATGATTTTTCGAATGCCGCCCACTTTTGTCACCTTAGCTGATCCCAATTAAATCAGCCAATCAAAGAGAAACCTGCAATTTGAAACTTCTGATTATTTTCGCGCAAGACAGTTTAGAAATAAGCATTGACAGGCTAAACACGACTCCTAAGCCCGTGGTAATGTGAAACGTGACCTTGTGAGTTTGCTTGAACAAAGGTTTTTTTATTTTCTCGGCTCTCGCGCGAAGGTTACTACCACTACACTACATGCATACTGAGTAACCATTTCCCGTGGTTTATTCTTCTGTAGGTGTTCCTGATAGGATTTGATCTCAGATGCAGTTGTAAATTTTCTTTGACCTTTGTTTCTTACGGCTAAATAAAGACAATTCCAGCGCTGTGAAGTTTAAAGACACAATTTCGGCAATTTGGTCATCAATTATTATGCTCTTTTTAAAGGGGAAACCACAATCACTTACGTCTTTTCCAGTTTGCCATCTGCTCCCTTAATTGGGAAATATATGCGAAGGATCATCTAACATGATTGACATATCTATGGCCATCAGGATCATCTAACATGATTGACATATGTATGGCCCTCGACCAATCCGTTTCTCCGCACACTGGTGTGCGGACTATTCAAAATACCGGGTTTTCTGGCAGGTGGTATTTCAACCGCCTCATCCCTACTCCCTTTTTTTGGAACACGGCTCTGCCCCCAAACTTTAATCTCGCACCCACACAATACCGCCAGCTACGCAGGCTAGTGCTTAGTTTTGTTTTTAGTTGGCTAAGGATCTTAGGTTTGTTATGAAAATCATATGCTGGGCACCCTGGGCCCAGTTGTTCAAATGCTGATTAGCGCTTAACCTGGGTTTCTTTTTCTTGTGTTCAAAAGCATTTTGTTGGATAATATGGTATTTTTCTGTTGTTTTTAGAGCTTCCAATCATCAACTTAAAGCCAAAATAAATTAAAACTGAAATAATTTTTAAGCTTTTGAATCTGAATTCAAATCTCGCACTAACCCTGGGTTATCTCAACCCAGCTTTGAACAACTCGGTCCTGGATTTCACAGGTTCATAGAAGAACTGGGCCTCTTCATTTTCTCTTAGAGCACAGTCTTGTAGGGGGTGTTGATCAATGTGTTGGCCAACAACTCAGTCAACTGTCATTCAACATATGGGTTGCTAAATGTGTTGAGTGTCGGTCGAGAGTCGGTCAAGAGTGGGTCGATATATGAGCTGAGTGTGGTGTTTCACTGTCAGTCAAGTATAGGTCATTGAAAGGTTGGTCTACAGATCGGTAGTTAAAAAAAATGTATGCAATGTATTGGTGAACCATCGGTTGGGTATCAGTAAGGTATCAGTGGTGTATCGGTCGACTATTATTGGTATTACCTGCACATTTTTTTTACCCACCTCATCCCCGAAGCTTTTCCCTTTTTTACAACTGAAGGTACCGGTGAACTGACATGGAGTGGACACTATTGCTTATTACACAATGGCTGTTGCTGACACCAGCTTGATAAATTAGTTACCAATTTGGGCCCTTTTCATCTTAATAGGGAATGTGCAGTTCTCATGAGTCTTATGGGTGGCCTTGATCAAGTAGTAGCCGAGTGTCTGTGGCAAGTCAGTGATCTGTCTGTGACCCATCAGGGAAGTAATGACTGACTAGCGACTGGTAGACTGTCAAGGCGGCCTACTACTGGCCACATATCGGTCAAGCTTTAAAGGTGTTGATCCATCTTTGTAGGCAGAATATGAGGAGTGTATCGAGGCCATAGAGAGAGGACAGAGGGAGGCAGTGTTTCTGTCAGGGAAACTAGCATCAACCCTCATGCAGCCTGAGACAATCAGGTGAATGCAGGCATTTAGAATATGTAATAAATAGAGGATATTAAATGGCTGCGCGGGGAAATATGAAATATTTTTCAACACTTGAAGAGAAATTTTGTATCTCCAAGCCGCCATGTAATGTTCTATTTATTATATAAACACCAATGAAATACCAACCATTTCACTTTAATAGTTTTTTGGTGTGAAAGGCGCGATTTATTATGTAGCCATAGCAACGGTGATATTTTCACATGTGAAGATATCAAGCTTTTGTGCGAAAGTTCACCTGGTATTTCATTGGTGTTTATATAATAATTGGTTCTATTGTTACTTCTTTTCATCTCAGATTCTCATTCAAATACACATGCTGTAAATGATCTGTTAGACACCTGGGGTGTTTCTTTAATTTCAGGGGTCCAAGAGAGAGCGTTTGATAGAAAGGAGGCGTTGGAAAGAGAGAGACGTATACTTTTATTTTTGTAACAATCTTTACAAGGGTAATATCCTTTTGGCGAAAATATGAAGAGAGTTTATAAACAACGTAATATTCAGTCTAGGCAAGTAGAGATCCATATCGCAACCTGGATGTCCGAGAACCCTTGTTCAGAGTCATTGTTTTCTCATCGTTAATCTATCCCTTGTTTGAACTTGACATTGAACAAAAAGCAAATATGCCCAAACCCAGATAACTTTGCTCCTTTTTGCTAATTCCAAGTATTTTTGTGTAACTGTGATGAGGGGGCATCTATATAATCCTTGAGTGGGCGTTTATAAGACAAGGTGTTTATTTGAGAGAGGGCTTCTATTAGATCATTTATGGTAATTGCTTTCTCTAGTGTAACATATGCTGTGAACAGGCTCCCGGGAGACGTGGTGACGGATGCTTCTCCCTTCCCTTTCCTTTTCCTTAAATTTCAAGCTTTTATACCACATAAGAGAGCCTATTTACAAGCTAGGCTATTTTTTTCTAAAATAGGGTAAGGGTTCAAGAAGGCTTTCTGAAAAACTCCATAGGAATTATCTGGGAGTATTCCCTGGCTCCCAGCTCCTTACTCTAGTGACCCAGGTCGAGCAGGTACAAACTCGGACCGGATGAACTTACATTTAGGAAAATCCAGGCCCCAGTTGTTCAAAAGGTGGATAGTGCTATCCGATGGATAAATCTCTATCCTGTGGATAGCGCTTTTGGTTTCCCAAATACTTACCCACTGGATAGTGATTTATCCGGTGGATAGCGCTATCCAACGTTTGATTAACCAGGCCCAGGAGGGTAACTGTGAATTGTGTTGTTAGTATGTGTCAGGGCCCAGTTGTTCGAACCCTGTTTAGCGCTAACCCAGGGTTAAATTTTAACCCGGGCAGGCGCGGATCTAGGATAAATGCTGACCGATTTCCTCAACGAGCGCCGAAACGCAAGCTTCTTGGGGGTCCAGGGGCACACTCCCCCGGTAAATATTTTAGATTTTAACTCCCTAAAGTCTCCTTTCTCGGGGATCCGAGTGACTCAGATAGGATATTGGCCAGTTCCATTCACCTTGGATAAAGCCTTGCAACTTGGAAAGTTTTTTATTTATTAAAAATATATCTATTTAAGAAAAATCTGACCGATTTCCGTAAAACGGTGGAAACCGGTGTGGATCCGCGCCTGCCGGGGTTCATTTTCTTCTTATCAAAAGCACTCTCTCGGATAATTTTCTCTATTCTTTAGAGCATCCAATCATCAAATTGTAGGTAAAGAGAATTTAACTGAATTTGCTTTTTAAGCTTTCATATCTGAGTTCAAATTTCGCACTAACCCTGGGTTATCTTAACCCAGCTTCGAACAACCCGGCCCAGAAGGTAAACCACCACCACCACCACCACAATGTATCGACATTTTATGATTTAGTATTGTTTACGTTGAATCTCTCCTAAGCAGGAACTTAAAACGACGCGGAGATGAGCTAGAGCTGAAAATAAAACTGCTCAAAGTTCTAAACCAAAGGTAGATACCAAACCGTCTAATTCTAATTAGGTTTAGTGCAGTTAAGTATGTTTCAACAATAACTGGAAGAGTTTGCCGCATTGCCTTGGTTTACGCTAAACGATTCAAGAATGACTATTTTAATTACGGAACCCCTTATCAAAGAACCTCGATGCTATATGTTAGTTCAGGGGCACCCAACGACTGTTTTCTGTAAAATATCTGTTCGGAGAAGCAAAAATTGCCCAGAATTTTCTATAGCTTAAGGTGGGCTGAAAATTTCAAGATGACCGTTCCATTCATGTTCAATCTTTGTAACATATATAATAAATTCCCTACGATTTTCTAAAGTTTAATTTTTGGCATTTTAGTACCCAAGTTAGCCTATTTGTCGTAGAAAAAGGAAACGTAAAATTTTCGATGGAGAAAATGGAGAGAGGAATCAGAAAAATTTTCACTTTCGTAAAACTTAAAATTGCATTTAAAATGTTCGGGAAAATAATACGGAGGCCCTTGTAATTTCGAAAAGACTCAAGTTGCCCTAGGAAGACCGAACAGATACAAATTTTATAGCGCCGCTTAGAATGCATCTCTAGAGATCTGAAACTACTCTGGATAGCCTAAAAAGTGTTTCCAATGCATCTAGGAGGAAACTATCGTTGGTTGCCCCTGTTAGTTGATTGATCAAATTGTGGGGACGGCATGAAGAGATGCGACACTGATGCGAGAACCCCAGCGCGGAACAGGCTATTAGTTAGGGGCACCCAACGACTGAGTTTCCTCCTAAATACATTGAAAACACTTTTTAGGTTTTCCAGGGTACTTTTAGATCTCTAAAAAAGCATTCTAAGCTGTAAAATTTGTATCTTTTCGGTCATCCTAGGGAAACTTCAGTCAGAAAATCGTGGGGAATTTATCAGATAAGCTTCGAAAATTGTCCATGAACGGAAGGGCGATCTAGAGATTTTCAGCTGTCCTCAAGTAATAGAAAATTCCAGACAATAGGCTGATTAGCAACAGAACGGGAACGTCAGTTGACGACTGCACGTGCAAATCAAACAACTGGCTTATCCAATGGCAGAGCGGCAAATTGAGCACCTGAAGTCGTGTTTAATCCTTTCCGCGCGCTTTTCCATCGTCAACTGACGTTCCCGTCCGAACAGATAGTTTACAGAAAACAGCTGTTGGGTGCCCCTGATTAGTTGCTACTTTAATTGTTACGTGGAATGCACAGCGTTAAAATACTCCAAACTCTATCTGACCTCAGGCTAGCCTAAGTTCGAGCTATAAGCTATCCACTGTACTGTGAACAGCAACGGCCCGGGGCGGCACGTTTCGTCCACACCCATCGAACATCGTGCCGGCGCGGTTGGTCGAGAGGGTTTGGTGCACTAAATTCCAATCCTCACTCCTGCATTTACTTCCGTCTCAGTGTGTTCCAGTATTCGCTCCTACTTGTTCACTTCCACGACTGGCCGAATTGGTGTTTACACTGCACCAAAGTAGGGCACAAAACCTATGCCATCTTGTGGCGTTCCACTTTCGAGATCGACACAGCGCAGTCTCGCTCCGTCACAGAAATAGAGAGGAGAAGTGTGACGTCACGTTACCATGGTAGCACTATTTCTGGACTACAACAAAACCAACGACGACATTTCTTTGCCGTCGTTGCACCAGTACGACATGAGACTTCCTTATTTCACGAGCCCGCTTTATGGAGTAAGTGAACACAACACCAAACTTGAAACTGAATAAGATCGGTAAAGTTTGAAATAGTGCGAATGGACTTTTAAGTGACTTTATCGGTTTGTTGTCATCCAAAAATTTTGCTACTATGGCAACGTGACGTAACGACTTCTCCTCTCTATTGCGCCGCCACAACCGTTCCTGTGTGTGTACAGAAGCCCCATCCTGTATGATTTTCGTGGCGGAGCATGCGCAAAAGCTATCCGGTATAGCTAGAGTGAACATAGCTTTTATTTACTCATAATCATCTGTTTTTATTCTAGGTTCGAATCAACCTTGAAGTCATCTTGCAGGTAAATAAACACATTGTAAAAATTGTAACAGTAACTTGTAACCAGATAAACTTGGAAAGCGAAATCCGCATGTTGCATTATCATGAGGCAATGGCGTCGCTGCAATTAGAATTCATTGTAGAGAGCTTGTAGACAGCGACGAAGACGTCGCTAAAAAATAAATTTGCGCCCTTTCAAACTTTACCGCGTCTTTTTGGACCAGCTCAATTTGTCAAATTTAGGCGATTCCACCTGGAGTTGAATTCTTAAGGACTTTATCCAGCAAAAAAAAGAGAAAGAAAAATTTGCCATCGTTTGTTCACGTTCTCCATAAAAACGTTGCATTAGGAGGTCTTACGTCGTATTCCTGCAGTGGACGTCAACGAAATGTACAAAAATGCGTGATGCACGTGCAGAGCTGTTGTTTTGCTCATAAAACCAATTGTTTTTTGACGTTGTCGCTGTCGTTGTCGTCATCATCGCCTTTGCTCGAGTTTCCTGATCATATAGAAACTGGCGCAGTACTTCATCAATTTCATTTGTTGTGGGAGTATGTGATGTAAAATGTTTCTTTTCTTTTGTTGCTTTTTTTTTCTCCTGTGAGCAAGAGAACCGGTTTCCTTAATGTCTTACTCACCAGACGTTTAACTTGTATGTCTTGTATATTTGTAGTGCTGGGATTTGTTTTCAATTGCTTGGTGTGTGAAATGATATCAATTTACACTTTTAGAACTTCATCCAAGCAAAACAGACAAAGTTATCTCAACTCATCGAATTGCGTATCTGAAGGTACATTTGTCACGAAAACTTTTTTATAGGCACTTTTATTTTGCACCGAATGATAATTTCGTTTGGCGCCACCAGCTGTAAAGAACTGCCATCTGCTTCTGAAAGGCCCAAATTGCATGTTTGTTAATTGTGCGGACGAAAATTTCTGCATGTAAACCCAATGAAAAGCTGTTCCGCCTTCTGAAAATTTCCCGTTGGTTGGATCTAGCTCTCTCCATCTGAACAGCCCCTTAATAAAGGCAGGTTTACACATGCATTTTTTGATTAGTATTGGTGGCAATTTCATCGTAATTGCACCGTATTATCCAACTAGGGCAGGATCCAGGTGTTTCAGTGTTATCACAAACGGGTCAGCCTTTTTTTGCCGCTATAAATTATTCTCTGGTAACTTCAACTGCGTTTCAACGTAATGTTCGTTTAAGAACTGAAACTTTTTCTGGTTTAATGGGTGCTTTTTCGGAATACGGATCCTCTGTAATGATACGCTTCCCTAGATTTGTTTAATGATGGGGAGGGGCTATATTCGTATGCTCTTAAATTTCTCTCGCAGGCTCCTTTCTGACGTGGGATCATTCTCGCAATGCTTTGCGGTCATATTTTTTACCTAGTTTCACCGTGGAACAACTAACGAACACCGCCTTTCTGACAAAAAAGGTACAGTAAAAAATACTTGCAACGGTTCTGTGGACAAAAACCTTGTCTGTGTAATCTTTATGAATCCAAAACAGGATCGCTATAATTAGAGTGGTTTCGATCCGAGATGGGTCTTGTCATTTAGGTTTTCAAGTCAATAAGCCCTGAGGGCTAGACTCGACTGTTGACAAAAGAGATAGAAGTGGAACCTGAATCTAAGGACATTTGTGTTGCCTAAAAGAGGTTGGAAGTAAGTGCAAGTATGTTTAGAGGCGACCATCATTCAGATTTCATTTCTTGAAGAGAGTTTAAGATGTCAAAGTGGCGAAGGCGAAAGCAACGAGACTGACGAGAAGGTAGAAATTCAACGTGTTTAGACTACGTTCAGACGGTACCAGATGAATGTCCTTCACGTCGAAAATTCGTCCTGAAAAACGAAAAAACAGAACTTGGCCAACATACACTTACTCTTTGGCAAGAACGCATGTGTATGTTTTGGAAAAAAGGAGGCTCGCGCGCGCAACTGATGACGCGATTCTAGTGGAACGGTTTCTCTACAATTGTGACGTGTAATTTTTTGTGTTAGACAATCTTTCTAGTTGAAACATAGCACCTGAGTCTATTGGAGAAACGAGTTATCGACTTAAAAGCACTGAAGTGAGAACGATAATCGTCGCAAGGATGGCCGCCTTTCTGTTTTAGCAGACTTGCTCCGCCAAAAATGTACCTCTTTGAGGATGTATTCGTTCGTTAAAGTTAACGTCTAGTTGGATAGTTTTATCAAACGTGAATCCAAAATCAAACCTTACGCCACAAAGCATGTTTTATTTTCTCAGTTGGCAGATCTGAAATCTAGAGTGGCTGTGGTAAAGCTAGAGCATAAAACCAGGTTTGTGGGGTTGTCCTTTGTATTGTGGAAGAGGGAGAAATGTAACATTAGAAAGCTAAGAAAAAAAATTCCGAGGTGCAGTGAGAAACGGACTCATAAGCCTCCGAGTTCTAGGATGCTCTAATCACTGAGTTACTGGTGGCTCTATGGCGGGCAGGGTCGAAATTCATTCATAATACACCAGTCGTGGGGGAATGTATAAACGGCAGTTCGAACACGACATTCGTCTGCCAGTTTCTTTGTAGTCCACCAACGTTTCAAGCTCAGGAATTAATTTTGAATTACGGTATTTCCTCGAATAATAGCCGCGGGCGATCATTAATTTTTTCGCGCCAAAAGGGGGCGATTATTCTAAATTTTTACGGCAAAGGGAATAATTAGTGAATTAATCTGGGCTAGTTTGCGGGTTGAAACTCTCATTCTTACGGACACCCTTAAATTTGAAGCTGAAAAATAGGACTGCGGGCCGTAAAGTTGACGAAGAAAAGGTCCCCGTTTAAAAAACAAACAAGCAAACAAAGAAGTTAGTTTCATTTCGTCAGTTTTCCTGCTATAACGATCTTGTTTGTTGGTATTTTTACTTTTGGTATAGATTTGTTCCAAAGGCTTTAAAACGACAGCTTTTCAAGCGCCTTCGGGAAAAAGAGGTAATTTTTTCCGCGTGTTAAATGCCATCCTTCTGGTACTTGCATTCGATTGAGTATGTCGAAAAAGTCTCATTGATGGAATTTTTTACTTTCCATGAAATAACAAAGAACACAAATGCTTTCCTGGGCATAAATACCTTGAAGTACTTTTTTTTGTCACATTCTTACAGGAAATCAAAGAAGAGCTGTTGAGTAAACGCGAGAAACTCAAGATGAAAATAATGTCAAATCAGCTGTCGATGGCTGTACAAGTTGAGGTAAGCAAGAAAGACTCGGCTTTGTTATTGTTGTTTTTTCTCTTTCTCTAAAATTCCGGGTGGCCTTGTGATTTACCGCCAAAACGCGCGGGTACTTGAAATTCAACCCCAGCTTAAATTTAGGGGTGGACGTTCGTACCTACGGACGATTTTGTCAGAACCAAAATTCGTGTCTGCATAGACAACTAAATTTTCTTACCCATGGTGCTCCGCTACGCGCGCTTCGCGAGAGGTACCGTAAAATTCCGAAAATACGCCCCGGGGCTTATATTTTTCAAAGGCCCTTTATGAGGGGCTTATATTCGGAGGGGCTTATTTACGGAGGGAAATTTGCTTTTCAAATTGATTGGGCTAGCTTGTAGTGGGAAGGAAATGTACCATTTTTGCTTTGTTTTACTTTGTATTCGAGAGCAAATTCCAACGGTACAAGCCGGGGCGCTCATATTCAGAGGGGCGATTTAACGGAAGGTTTTTTGCGTTTCGATTTTGGGGGGCTTATATTTGGATGGGCTTATAAATGTAGGGGCTTATTTTTGGAATTTTACGGTAAGTTTTGTTTCGTTGCTCAAGACATTTAATTATTTGAAAGCGAACCGTATTTAAACAGCTTTTAGCCTTTAGTTTTAAACTCTATGCTCTCGTCTCTATCCAGAGGAAAGCGCAATCGTTATTTCCTAATACTTATCCACTGGGTTGTGATTTATCCGGTGGAGAACGCTATCCAACGTTTCAACTACTGAAGCCAGGAGTGTTTCATTGTGTAACGATCGTGAGGTCTCCAATATGAGTTTGAGTTTCCGGAAATTTTTGTCACTACTCTATGGAACTGTCAATATAAAGAGGACGGGTTTTGTTCCAGTTCTCTTCGCAACCTAGTAAACGGCAAATTTGGCCAACACAGGGCGATGCCAGTGACGACAAAAAACCGAATTGAACAAGGATAGAAGAGGCAAATTGAGCACCGAAAGTCACGTTCAGTCCTTTCCGCGCGCTTTCGCGTTGTCATTTGACGCTTTGCTAAATCTGCCTAATAAAAGCTAGGTAAGGTGTGTTACAAGGACACGATTCACAACAGCCATTTTTTCGTCAGTTGCAATGTTAAAACAGCGTTGTAGCCATTCTAAACAATGTTGGCCCATTATTGGGAGTTTTGCAGCTCTAACTAATTGTCGCTGTGTTTCGTCCTGTGCAACACCCCCTTAAATAAAGAAGACAACGTTCATAAAACAATGCCATAATGCAATTCAACACTGACCCAGTCACCCGCAATTTCAAAATGGCTAATGGATCAAAGAATAGTATTAGTGGAGAAAGACCTTGTTTCTCTAAGGTATCTATCCTTTTGATCTTTTAGGCAAACAAAAGCAAAACCAGACCAGTTGTTTACAGGGGAGCTTTTGGGAACATCGCCATTGCAATCAAACAAACCAAAGAAACAATGGAGAAGGCGGGTAAGCTATTTTCTCCCACGCAGCCTTTTTGTGTCGCCACGGAACTCTTCTCCCCAGAATGACAAAAAAGGCACAGCTGGGTAAGAAAATAGGAGTTGATTTTCGTTTTTAATCTCAAAAACGATAATAAAAGAATTTAAGCGAAAAAATGCAACGGATTCGCGGGTAGGCTGTAAATGAATCCACCCTAGGTTTACTAAATAGCGCTGCACTGATTAAAGTAGATTCGTTTTGGACATACATGTATGAGTCCCGCTTGTGTCCTTTCCCACTGGGCAAGGATATGGCCAGTAAAGCTTTCTCTCTCTGGAAGTAAAATAGATGAAGCAAATGAGGATAGTTTCTCATGTTTTGTGTTGTTTTATGTAGCCTCTGTGTTGATGTTGTATATGTGCTCATTATTGATTGGATGGACTACAGTTTCTTAAAGATATGCATTTTTTTATACATCTGTGCCAGGAGCCGATTCGGCTCCTGATCTGTGCTCAATCTTCAGTCAATCTTCAGTCTTTCTTGATATAAGGCATTTACACAAATGTGCGTAAGTAGGAGAACAAAGTAGGCGATAAATAATCGTTAAGCTAAAAGACATAAGTTAATTTGTCAATTTCCCCTTTTATCTTAAGGACTCCTTAATCGTGAAAACAAAGGGTCTCGCTTGCGGTAAAGGCACGTGCAACTGATGACGATATCTGTACAATTGTGACGTAGTTTTTCGAATCAGAAACGTTTTGTCAGTAAAAAGTATAGCATCGGCTCTTGCGGACACATGTGATTTTCCTGAAATCATTGAACTGGAAATTGTTTCTCCAAGAGGTTGTCCGTCAGCATGAGATTCTGTGCTTTGTGTTTTAGCCGACATATTTCTTTGCTTTCAAACAACGTACATACAAAATTTCTAACTCTTTGAAGAGCGAGGTTTTGGCAGATGTTGTAGTAAACGCAACACGTCTGTAAGGTTTTTTTTTTTGCAAAAGTATTCATAAACAAACAAGTTTCCGCTTTCGTCGTAAAGAATTCTGAGTCCTTTATACCGAAATAGGAGCAAGTTTTCGACTGGATGCGAAATTTAGAGTCAACTTACTGTACTTTGCGCGCAGTCCTTCTAAGCATTTACCCGAAAATAGAGACAGCATGACTCAGGATTGAAAACTAAATTGAAGTAAAGTTTTATTTTTGTTTGCAGATGAAATGTGTCAAGAGACAAAAGACGGGCCAGAAACTATCGCTGATAGCCAATCATCGATCTGCATCCTAGGGGAAGTTGACGTACGTGCGCTAATCCTCCTTGTGCTCTTAAGGTTACAAGCCTGTAAATAATTTTCCTTTTAAGAAATGATGTGGATCATGCCCCACCGGATCATTACAGTCGGACCATAGTTTATAGAGTGGAATGGTTATAAGCCCGTCAGAGTAGTTCTTGCTTTTAAGTTTTTTTTATTGTGCAGACTTGACGGTGCACAACGTCCAATAGCGTTGCTTTCATTTCGATCTTCAAAACGTCGCAATAATCTATTGCGCATCAATTTTTGAATAGGACACAAGGGATTTTCCCCCTTCATGGAGCTCCCAATATAAACCGCAACACCTACGATCTTTGCCGCATTTTGATAACCAGTCTCCTCTACTAACTATGGTCGGACAAACCAAAAATAGTCCCCTGAGGGGACCTGTGCTTACTGGGTAGAGGGTGTCGATCCCAATACCCCTGCCTCCAATCTGGTAGGTACCTCATATATGATTCCTATAGTGTACTGAGATATAGATTCTTATAGTGTACTGCGTCTTATAGTGTACCGAGGTACTTGTTTTACTTGTGTGTCTTGGCCTACTTTAGTTACTTGGCGTGCTTGAGGTACATATTCTTGGCGTACTTGGCTAACTTTTGTACCTAAAGCAGGCCAAGTAACTAAAGTAGGCCAAGACACTGACGCAGTCCAAGACACACAAGTACGCCACGTACCTCAAACACGCCAAGTAAGTGAAGTAGGCCAAGACAGTCAAGCAACTCAAGACACACAAGTAAGGCAAGTACCTCAAACATGCCAAGTAAGTGAAGTAGGCCAAGACAGTCAAGCAACTCAAGACACACAAGTAAGGCAAGTACCTCAAACATGCCAAGTAAGTGAAGTAGGCCAAGACAGTCAAGCAACTCAAGACACACAAGTAAGGCAAGTACCTCAAACATGCCAAGTAAGTGAAGTAGGCCAAGACAGTCAAGCAACTCAAGACACACAAGTAAGGCAAGTACCTCAAACACGCCAAGTAAGTGAAGTAGGCCAAGACAGTCAAGCAACTCAAGACACACAAGTAAGGCAAGTACCTCAAACATGCCAAGTAAGTGAAGTAGGCCAAGACAGTCAAGCAACTCAAGACACACAAGTAAGGCAAGTACCTCAAACATGCCAAGTAAGTGAAGTAGGCCAAGACAGTCAAGCAACTCAAGACACACAAGTAAGGCAAGTACCTCAAACATGCCAAGTAAGTGAAGTAGGCCAAGACAGTCAAGCAACTCAAGACACACAAGTAAGGCAAGTACCTCAAACATGCCAAGTAAGTGAAGTAGGCCAAGACAGTCAAGCAACTCAAGACACACAAGTAAGGCAAGTACCTCGGTACACTATAAAGACGCGGTACACTATAAGAATCTATATCTCGGTACTCGCCCGTCTCGCTGGACAAGGGTAACGCAGACTCTGGGAAAGAGATTGTTCTGGCCTGGAGGTTATAGCGAAAAACGTTAAAGCTGTGTGCTACGAGTTAATGCAATCCGAACAATCAAATTTAAATTATTGCCACGAGCCGTGTGCGTGTTTATGCGTCCCGTGCTCATCCCGTCTTCAAGCAATCGTCAGTTGGATTCATTTGCATCATACGCGTATAGATGTCTCATTTGCCCGCTGGAATTTTTTATCGCCTGCCGCTAAAGAAAATGTTAACATCGCAAAATTTATTGTGTCTTTGAAGCAAATAATTCGGAAGGCTTCATCGGCGCTTCATAAATCTATTTTCTCCCTGAAAAGTAGACTTCCTAAGCTTTAAAAAGAGACCAAGTATAAATCTCAGCGTGCGTTGAATATTCGTAGACTTTAATCTGATTTTGCGAGGATTCTAAGTTCGCTTTTAAAACCACTAAATGTTACACAAAATGACCTGTGCACAACTTCGGACAAAAACACAAACTTCAATATCTCGAAAAATATGCTATGTGAAGTCGAGATTTCAAATTCTTTCTGGCGTTGAACAGTTTAGTTCACTATTTTCAAGCTAATTTTCGCTTATTCAATCGAATTGAGTTCAAACTATTTTTCGTAAATGACGGTAATTCATGACATCTCTAAACAAATTGAACAGCGCGCGTATTAAAAAAATCTTGGCAATAAGAGATAGCTGTAATTACGTAGTTCAATAGTTTGTTTCACTCTTTGTACCTCAAGCGAAAAAAAAAAAAAATGAAACATTAAAAAAAAATGAGAAACCTCAAAAGTGGCAAAGTCCCCGAAAAGGAAAGATGCCATCGAGTATTTATTGAACGCGGATCTCGAGTAGTGTAACTTACTAACTTCTTGCAATTTATTGCTTTTACTATAAATTTAGCTTGCGTAGCAGGTGTCGAAAGGGGTGGATTGGGGAGAAATAGTAGCTTGCCACGCAGGCCACTATAAATTCAGTCATATGCACATTAAACCAACCCATACATGCAGGCAACCTACTCATCGATGCTCATAACATGATGACACATCTTTCCGGTTTCCCTAATTTTTCCAAATTCAGATAGAACGCCATTATGCTTCCATAGACCAACGGATCCCACGGAAACGACTTTAGGCGTCTTGTATTAAAATATTTTTTACTTTAATTTATATATATTTAGTTTGTGTCCCCTAATTAGCATAGGTTTTTAACCTAAGCTAGGAGGCTTCTTTAGACACCTTAATAAAGTTTCATCATCATCATCATCATCATCATCACGGTTTTTAAAGAGAACTTAGTGCGCTTCTTACACTTTTTTTCTGCCATTTATTTTTCAGACAATTAGAACTGAAAATGCCCAGCTGTTTGAGGAAAAAGTTGCCCTAGAACAGGAAAATAATGAGGTACTATCCGCTTGATAAGGTTTCAGCCTCTTCATCCTAAAAATTAGTTCCCACGCCAATTAAAGCATGCAATAATAAGAAGCAGCCTGTTGGCGGGTAATATTAAGGGAGTTTTTACCCAAAGGTGCTCTTAAGGAGTTAACTTTACAGTATATTGTCCATCAGTACTTTGTTTCTTACCTGTCTTTAAATTCACGTGCATGCCCAACTTCAAAGTACAATTCTGAACAATTCTGCCCCCTTCCCACTCACCCCTGCCTGTTTTTCTTTCCCTGAAATAATTTATTGCTGATTTATCGCTTTGCAAATTTTACAAGAACTTGAAATACTCAGCTCTTGCCTCTTTCTTTAGTTAAAAAAGAGAGATACTGAAAGATTAGCAGAAATTGCTGCAAACGTGGAGACGATTCGAATGGCTGAAGCGGTAATTACATTTTGCTTTTTAAATCGTTTGGTATTTTTTTATTAAAATATGGTATTAACTTCCGATCACGTGGACTTAAACAGCACTTACACACGCTTGGTCAATAAACAGAGTTTAATACCATCACCTGACGAGATACCACTCCGACTTTGACTCCTATTAAGAACTTTGGTCACCCGGACTCGACCTACTCTATGTATGTTAGCACTTATATAGTTGTCTTTGGGTAGTGCTAAAATTCGGCCTAATGCCAATGTAGTCGGAAAGAAATGTGTAAATCTATAGTATTGTGATTGAAACTAAAGAGAGAACGCGAGGCGAAGCGGGGGGAGGAGGGGGGGGAAGAAACGTAATTTTTTTCCTGCTCATAGCTCTTTGCGCCGAGCACACAATCTAAAGACCTGGGCTTTTAATGTTTGCTTTATGAAAGCTGTTGTATGTTGTCTTTTTTTATGAATAAATAAATCAGGTTTGGCTGTTAAGCTGGGAAAAAATCATGGGGAGGGTCGGGAGTTAAAGTTTTGTACTGTAGTAACTTCAACAGCAGCACGACCACTATTGATCGGCGAAAGCTCGGATTTTAACAATCAACTATATATCTACAGCTTTTAAGGGCCTCACTCGAGCTACAATATTTTTATTTATAAATATCAGTAAGTAACTGATTAACTATGTTTTAAATTACAGGGGCTACGTTTGAAATTTAACGAGTGTGAAGAACAGAAAGAGGTAATGAGGCAATATAACTTAATTACGTCCCAGGTGCAGTGAATTCAATTCTTTGTCTTTGGATGCACTTCTGGTTATGTAAATATTCAGCCACAAAATGCCCCCCCTTCCCCTCCCCGGACAGTATTTAGTATTTTTAGATTAAAATCTGTTCAGTTATTTATTCATTTATATATTTAATTAATTTGGAAGGATCCAGCCAAAGACAGAGAGGCGGAGTTTATACTTGAATACATTGAAAACTTCTTTGAGGTGAGAATAAAATAAGTAACTAAAATCATGTGATCTTCTTGGTCGACTCAAGATGGGCATACATTCCAGTGTAATTCCAATGAGACTTCGAAGCCCGAGCGAACAATGACTATTTTTTTTTAAGGTGAGAGGGGTGGGGCGGAGGGGAAATAGACCCTCTGCAGCGAAAAAGTCACGGAAGATAAAATTGCAGTTTCCACTGCATCCTCTGCTCTCAGGGCGAGGTGTATCATGTTACTGTGCATGTCAAGCTGCAACATTCTCTCTTGGCTGCAAACGGTCCATTTTAACATAAAAAAACCCCATTTATTTCAATCGAACTTCCCACACTAATCAGGTACTGGGATCTCATTGGTCTACTTCGGTTTCCCAAACACAAAAATCCGCATTGGGTACGAAGTTGGATGGCGGTTAACACCAGCAAATCGTCTGCTTTGCTGGTTACACAGTCCATGGATTATCAGTATATAAAATATAACCCTTATTATACTTGACATTTTGAATTCCAGTACTCGCAGCATTTTTTTTTACTGAAGGAATTATTATTTTCGTTCCAGTTGTTTGAGGAGGGAAAAGTTGAAGAAGCTGTATTGCATGCAGCACATTCTCCAAAGGTTAGTAATACGCTTTCATTTGTGATAACTGTGTCTACTTTAAGCCATTTAACATTTTGTTTTGTTTTTGGGTATGGTATTGTATGATAATGAGTTTGAAACAAAAGAAAATAAAAATTAAACCAAGGATAAAACTGAACTACTACATATACACCAAATGTACC